TAGTTAATTGTCACACACTGACCGTAGCTAGTGAGGCTTGACTTCGGTGATCTGCTGGGAACCGTGTCTTAACGATCAGTCCTCTGCGGGACGACTACTTAATTGGTTCGTGTAGAGGTCTTCCCTCTTGTAGGAGGTATTGATTCAGCACGCAACTGATAAAACAAATTTCTTTTTCACGCTTACAAATTTACTGAGAATCGACCTTTGCAAATGCAAAATAATGATATCATTCAAGCATTATTTTCGCAATTTAATTTCAAAAAATCAATTTTAAGAAGTGAATAGCTTTTAACAGAAAATAAATTTTCGATAATCATTTTTAGCTTCCGTTTTAATTTGTTTATAAATTGCAAGATAAGCCAACGCGGTATTCGCTTTTTTTTTTAGTTCAATTGTCCAGAAATTTTATAATAAAGAAAAATGAGTAAGAAAATGTTTTTTTCAGAATAAAAAATTTTGCTTTGATATTTTTATTTGAAAAAAATACTGTACTATTGAAAACATTCTATTAATGAGATTTGATTGAATAATAATAAGAATTTATTTCTATAGAAAAGTAAAATCTGGGCACAAAAAGTGAGGTAAAACTAAAACTCTGTTAAAGGTAACTATGAAAATATATTCGAATTTTTTTTTCTAAGAATATTTACCAATGAACAGAAAACCAGCATCCCAAGGCACGCCATTGGGAACCCTTTTATTCTAACCCTATTATTATAAGTTCAGCTTTCGAAGTTCAATTCCTTCCAAGCTATCATTCTTTCAAAATTTAAGACATGTTTAATATATAAGTTTTAATAGATTCTATTATCCAAAAATTTCAAAAGGAAAATTGGTTAACTTTTTTTTTTTTTAGACTGGGAAACTGCTTTTTTTAGTCATTTCTATTTAAAAAAATAAATACGTCAAACCCCCGCTATGATGAACCTTCAAGAGACCGAAATTTCGGTTCACTATAACCAGGAGTTCACTATATCCGTTACGCAGGCAATTTCACTAATGGTTCCCAAACTCCTCCCTTTTATTACATTATATTCATATAAATGACTGAAAAATATTATGNTTTTAAACATTGAAACACGAACATATAATCCTTTTGTTTATTTTATGAGAAATTAATGAAAAGATCTATAAATGGAAAAATAATTTAAATAATATTTTCAGTTAGTTTTCATTTTAAGTTGTTTCCGGATGTTTTATTGTCCTTAATTTAGTGTTTTATGCAGTTATTATAATTTTAGTTTTACTAGATCAAATTCGTAATGTATTAAAAATAAAACTTTAGTATAAATATCGTTATTTATGATTATTTTGCTAATCATGGCTTGTCTTTCACATATAGAAAAAGTGTTTTTAAAATTAGTTTCTCTTGATTTAATAATATTTTTTTATTACAAAGCGATTTAATTGAAAATATTGCTAGCATAATTTTTTTTTTAATATTTGGTTCCATTTCATTAGGGTAGGAAAAAGAAAGAGAAATTTACAATACAAACATTTTACAAAAGGTGTCAATTTAAGACTTACCTCTTGCAGTGCGACTTCTTCGCTTGCAATAAAGTTTGTAACGAGAAAAAAATAAAATGTATGCCTCTTGTATACAAAAACAGTCAAATATAGGATTTCATTTAATGAAACACATAATTGTTTAAAACAAATAGGCAATAAATTTTGGCACTTAAAAAACTTAGAATTTTATATTTCTTGTTTTAATTTTTTTAACATTTTTGATAGGCAGAAGAATATTTTATAATAAAACAGAACGGCACCCCGTTTGTTTATTTATTGGTTATTGCAATTACATAAATTTTCAGGCTTGTGTGCTCAAAATAGGCTTATAAGCCTTCGTCAAGTAGAAAAGGACAGCAAAACATTTGGCCCTGTAAGCTAAAAACAATTTGGAACGTGAGTTCAATGACCCTCAGGCACTATAAATTTTAAAAACTTAAGAAAAACAATGCAAAAAAAATCAATTTCAAATATATACTCAATTTTTTTTTAAATTTAAAGATTATTTTTAGTTCTAATTTAACAAAATAAAGTAAAATTTAATTTATTAATATTTATTTTAATTTTCACTATGCTTTCTTAAATGATGTTGTTGTTGAAATTGTTGCTGTTGTTAATTGGCGATCGAAATGGGCTGCAGGTGGCGTCGATCAGAACGCTCTACCTATGGCAACACTTCACATGATTTCCCCATTAGCGTGTGGAAAGTCATAGAGGAGGGAAGTACGTTAGTTACTCTCTTGATTTTCATATAGATTAAAATCTTTTAAGTTGGAAAACTATATGGAACTGAAAACTGCATTAAACATAGTTCTAAAGAAAAGTATCACGGAAATTTTGAAAGAATATTTTTATTGAATAAAAAGGAAAAATATGAAGAAAAGGGAAAATATCATAGTACATTCCTATACAACTGAAAAGAGCAGGAGAGTGAAGGGAGAAGGGCTAAAGGCATGAAACCGGTCTCTCCCCAGATGGCGTATTCGAGTGTTGCGATCGCGAATTCAAGAGATGACCATTTACAAGAAAAGCAGTCATTACACAAAGCGCAGTATAAGATAAAGGGACAGAAGTAAGGGTCACGAGCTTTTAAAATGGGAATGAAGTTATTTCATGGATTACATACCTTTCCAATTTCACACTTTATGTAAAAAGTAGAAAAGAGGAAATGCACAAATTTTTAGAAGTAACTAGTTGTAGTTGTAGTTCATTCACGTCGCACTAGAGCTGCGCAATGAGCTATTGGCGACCGTCTAATAAACATCCCTGAGGATAATCCGAAGACATGCCATCACAATTTTGATCCTCTGCAGAGGGGATGGTACCCCCGCTTCGGTAGTCCAACGACGTGCACGCTAAGGTAGAACAGTTTAACGAGGACCAGTACCGCACACCCTCGTTCCCTAAGCAGACAGATCCAAGTGGTCACCCACCGGCACACTGACCGCAGACAGTGATACTTGACTTCGGTGATCTGTTGGGAAACGTGTCTCAACGATCAGTCCACTGCGGGACAGAACTATATAGAATTGTAGGGCTTAGCACAACAGAAAGATAGGACACATTTTAAAGTTTCTCGGGAAAGTGTTTCAAGAAATAATTTTCATGTAAATAAGTTGTTTCAATGTATTGTGCTGTTATCGAAAGAAAATTCCGAAAAATTACATGTGTGGGAAAACGTTTGATATAAAAATGTCACTTTATATGGCCTACCACTATATTTTTTACTGCCCTTAAAATACCAATAGCGTGTAAGAAAAATGTAAATTAATTATAGAGCTTTTTATTCAGATTTTTAAATTATTTATATTCAGTAATTGTCAAAATTCTTCTTTTAAGTCTGTCATACTAGCTATACCTATTTTTTTTTAAAGTTATTTAATAGTTTTAGAGGGAGGCTTATCACATTTTATAGATTTCATTTTACATGTTGGTTACAAGGTTACAATACAAGGGACAATTACTTACATTCTGTTTATTAAAAAAGTTTCATAAAATTGCTATTTTTACCTCAAGAGTTATAATAATTGAATTCAAATGTTTTTCAATTTTTTATGATAAAAGATTTAAGATAGATTATATTCTAAGTAATCTGGGTACATGATAATGTTGTAAATTCTGAAAATTGTTATAACTGGTTGAGACATAAGGAAATGATTAAAAGGTCAATAACTTCAGAACATTTTTGATTAGTCTATTTTTTGTATAAAAAATAATAATAATAATAAAAAATTGGTTAATTTTTTTTTTAAAAAAAAGCTCGATTCTAAAGAAAGAGAAACTTGAAAAATATTTTAGCTTTTTGATAGCAGACCCTGCATAGAACATTTGCAAGCCTGTTTTACGTAAGTAAGAATAAAATATTCAGATGAAAATAATCTAATTTTCATTTTAACTTCCCCATAGTATATATTATAACTAAACCACGTTTATCATAACGGGATTCTATGTAGACAGATAAAAAACTGAAATTGAAACTTATAAATTTTACATTTCTTGAAACACAGGATTTTATGGAAAAAAATTTCAAAAGTATAACATTTTAGCTTTATTTTCTCAAGTGCAAACAAAATTATTTAAGAGTCCAACATGCTAAGTAATCAGTTTTTCTGTGGATGAGCCCACTGTCACTGTAAATATTAATTTACCATACACACAAGATTTTTCATTCCTAACCAAGAGGACATCTGCCTCATTATCAACATTTAAGTAAATAAAGAAATTGAGGTATTTTTAGTTATTGTTAT